CATGGTACTTTATGAGCATCATGTTTTCATAAAATGATAAGGAATAATTGGATGCTGGATGCTGTCAGGTGATCCTGTTTCATTAGAAATCTGTGATATGCCAATTGAAAGTAATATTTTATTAACATGAAGAAACAATCATATTAAGCACATGTAGAAAGAACCTAAAAAGTATGCGTACATACTATTTTGCACTGATACTATTTTGTGTCTGTACTATAGTAAATATTCAGTCATGAAGAACTTGTTGAAATTTGAAGTAAACAGGGTAATCTCCATCCACATAGCTGTTGAAAGGTTATGAGACAGAATTTATTACTCTGCATACAAAAAGGCAAAACAAAAAAAGTCTTCTTACCTTTATTAAATAAATCTGACAGTCACTCACATAGTCATATTCTAGTCCATCAAAAGTATAATAATGCCGATCTCCGTAGACTGTGCATACAGCAGGACAAGGATAGTATGTGCAGTTAAATATCCCACGTCGGCAAATACTTGGGTGTGAGGGGAAGAATCAAGATTTTCTTATTGAAAAATATATACACTCTTTTGTCATGTAACACAAAATAGCAAGGATAGATAGATAGATAGATAGATAGATAGATAGATAGATAGATAGATAGATAGATAGATAGATAGATAGATAGATAGATAGATAGATAGATAGATAGATAGATAGATAACCTTTATTGTCATATTTTACTTGTGGGCACAATGGCACACATTAAAAATGAAATTTAGTTGCTTGCTCTTAAAGTGTACACATACACAACACACATTTAAACATCCTACATACAACATATGTATAGACCTACACCCTTACATATAAATAACATATAAATATTAATCACTATCCATCTTGAATACATAACGGAAGGGGGAAGCTTCCAGATATATTTATATACCATACATGTGTAAATTATATATTAACAGGGCTTTTTTTCTCATAGAATGCCCAGAACGGAGTTCCGGCACCCTTTTGGGATGGAACCTTGTAGGGTAGGCAAGGCGGGCTTTATGACGTGTGTGAGTTCTGGCACCTTTTTTTTTTTTTTAGAAAAAAAGCACTGTATATTAATATAATATTTTTATATTTAATTTATTTCCTAATTATCTTCAATACACTTGTAGATCTTGAGGCTGTAGACAGGGAGACTGGAGACCTTGCCCTTCGTTGCTAGCTCAGTTTCAAGATAGGTGATCAACACCTCATTCATTGCATCTTTGTATGCTTAAAAGAGACAGTTATACGTTATAAGGATTTTTTTTAATTGAAAAAGTTCTCCTTTTACCCAAAGATATTTTAAATTATATGATAATCTCAAATATTCCATGTTTAGCTAAGGTAACTGAGTAAGTGGGGGCCTCACAGCTTCAGATGCATTTCAATTAAATGTTTCATACATATGGATGAAAATATCACCACTGGTTACCAGTTGCCTATATGACCCAATTTAAGGTGTTTATGTTAACCTTTAAAGCCCAAAAGGCCCACAAGTGTTGGAGCCATCCCAGTCTCTGGAGGGACAATGTTGCATAAGGTGGGTGCTATAGCAGAAATACACACACATATACAGACATGATATTAGTGTTAGAATAAACATAATAAATTAAATAAATATGCCACAAAGCAATTTCTTGCTGTATCAAGGTTTCTTTGAAGCATCCATCACAACCCCAAGCTCTTTTCTTGCCAGTCATTTCCAATGTAAACTCCATCATGAACTGAATATTTTTTCACCCCAAGATGCATCATTTTATATGTTCTTGTACTGAATATTTGCCATTTGTGTGTTCATGCCACAGTTTGGTGTGATCTTTTTGACAGACCTCATTACATTTGTATTTTAGTTGACCTTACTACTTTGATATTTTGGCAACTTAATATTAAAAAACATTTAATACTAAGATAAGCATGAAAACCCTATAATTTATATTTCCTTCAACATCTACTAAAGATATACTCTTTTTGAGCACGTTCATCAATCTTAGATGTGTTTTAGATTCCATCCCTAGACCCAAATTATGGGGAAAACTGAACTCTTCCTCAACGGACAAAAGACAACATATAAGCTTTATGTAATGTAAGGTCTGATGTAATGCTTATGAGCACTGTTCCAAAGAAATTCCTGTTAAGAGGGGAGTGAGATAGAGGTGTATATTAGCCTCCCTTCTGTTTAATATATATAGTAGATTCAAGTAAATTCTCTAGAAATAAATTATTCTAAAACCAAGGTCATGGTCTTTGCCAAGTACCTTAAGATGCATTCCTGACAACTAAACAACCACCAAATATAGCAAGTCAAGACTTTCAAATATATGGGGATTGTCTTTCAAGCTATAGGTAACCACAAACCTCATGCTGAATGCGTCACTCTAAATGCACAAAAAACAGTGGCAACCTTACAATCTTTTTACTTCTCCAAAGGAGCTCAGCCTACACCTGCAGCAATTAAAGTCTCAGCTGAGCCCAACTCCTTTTTGGAGCTCAACTGGGCTCTACAGATCATTGCTTCCCTTGGAAAGAATTCAGTCCAGATTTCTGAGAACAATTTTTAAGCATATCCCTGTGTTTCAAACATAATCCTTCTCTGTGAAGCTGGCCTTTTCAAAATTGAAATGTCCACCTGGATGTACATTTTCTCCCACTGGCTTAAGATCCTTTTTTCTTTTCAATCAGTCTGACCCCTCTAATGTTGACTGAGACCTTCCAGTGCTCTTGGAGCCAGGCAGTACAAGCCAATTTACAACTCTGTGGCTATTCATGGCCAACCATCACCTCGACTGGCTATCAATGTGCTCTAACAGATCTTAGACAGTGGGCTGCAAGCTGATTTCTCAGCCCCATCCAGAAATACCTTCCTGAGCCACTCTGTACAGCTTCTCTAACCAAGTATCTCAGTCAGATAACAATCCCAAAATTCAGAAAGATCTTTCTTTAGTCAGATTCAATGCCCTTCTGACAGTTGAAGGAGGATACAAAA